GAACAAAGGGCGATGAGGTGCCTCTTTGTCCTCTCAAGTGTCCCTAGCTGTCCCAATAGAATAGCACTTTATCTCTCTTACATCCTCGATAATCTCCAGGGTATACGTTACGATCACTCTCCACTATACCCTGGATGCATCCACGGCTTAGGGCGATGATTTTATTACCTCAATTGGCTGGCTTTTTATCCAATCAGGTGCCTACGCTGGGAAGTTGAGCGTACCAATCACAACTCACTTTCGCTTCTTAAATTATCTAACCGTTAAAACTTGGCAACACAATTGATGCAGAGGTACTCTGAAAGAAGTAGAAGGAGTTCTGTCATATATTTTTTAAAGTTTCAGATCTGTCAATTTGTCTTTATTATTTCCAAAAAATCTGAGTGGCACTGCGAACAAACCTTCGCGACTGCGACCGCTATCCTTGTTGACACTGGCAAGCTCGGTTGTAACGGCGGCTTAGCTGATTGGCTACTGTGAGAATGCGGAGCCAGCCAAGGGAGGTAATAAAATCATCGCCCTAAGCCGTGGATGCATCCAGGGTATAGTGGAGAGTTATCGTAACGTATACCCTGGAGATTATCGAGGATGTCTCTCTTAGAGCACAGCCAAATATGCCACACGTACCAACTCGTAATTCTTAAGTCTATTCAGCTCACTACTGTAAAATATTTTTGGCAGTACATAATTGGAATATTATTGCGCTGCATGTGACCTTTCTTAATAGTCTCACAGTGCCGGAACCATGTTATTTCTCCTTCCGCTCAGCCTTTGCTGTAATAACGCCATACATCAGCTTTAAGTTGTCCACATTTGTTTCAATAACGCAAAAGTATGCGACAACAAAAAAGGAGGTATCTGATAAGACCTTACCAGCAAACAAATCTAGTGGACCTGATGGCATTAACATGAGAGGGGTAAAACGAATTTGTACATCTATAGCTGAACCTCTTTGTTTGTTGTATAATATATCACTGAGTGACTGTATTTCCTACATTGTGGAAAACGGGTAATGTTACTCCTATTTTGAAAGAAGGAAATGCATCCCTCCCAACTAATTACAGACCTATTAGTTTAATACCTATCCTTTGGAAAATCCTTGAAAGAATAATGGTAAAGCATGTGCACGACCATTTCCATGAACATAACATTTTAAGTAAATTCCAGTCAGGTTTTACTGCTAGTCATTCTACTACATCTCAACATAGACATTTATCATAATATATGCTCAGTCCTAGATAATCACCACCTTTACTGTATGCTGTTTTGTGATATTTCAAAAGCTTTTTACAGGGCAGGGCATAAAGGTTTATTGCACAAATTAGAAAATGATGGTGTTCGTGGAAACGTACTTAGTTGGTTAACTAACTAGACGACAGTGTGTCTCTGTTAATGGAACATTATGAAAAACTAAATGTTACTGCAGGGGTTCCTCAAGGATCTGCCCTTGGTTAATTTGTGTTCCTTGTATATATCAATGATTTACCTGGAAATTTACAAAATATCACAATAATGTTGGCCGATGACACATCAATCGGTGTTGCGGGAAAATATGTAAAATCCATAGAAGCAACTCTCAACTATGATTTAGCCCAATTGAATAAATGGGCAGAAAAGTGGTGTGGTGTGTTCTAACGGTTATATCTAGCATACTTTAAGACATAGAGGGGTGGTGGTGGTTCTAACGGTTATATCTCAAATACATGTAGAGGCGGGAGGCCTAACGGGTATGAACAACAATAAAAACTTTCATGCATTTATGACCCACATTTTCGAACCTTTTATCAGTCTCTAAAAGGGAGCTGGCAATAGATTTTAATGAGCTTCGTCCTTCAAGCCTGAAAACCTTTTAATATGGTTGATTAATCCTTTGTCATTTATCAAAAAAGTAGTGAGGTTGTGCTTTATTGTTATAGATTTCTAAAATATATGGACACTATTGGGACGTTGGTAACTGTCATCAGACATTATTTGACGACATTTCTCATGGTTTGAATATAGCCGACTTTATAGAAGATAAATATCAGTTTACAACACAACTGCCTAAATCTTGGTATTTTCGGAACCAGAGAAGGGATATGCCGATATTTAGGTCGTTAACCTAGCATATTATGGTCACGAATATAATTTTCTATTTATTACCGAAGTCTTTAATTGCGGAAATTACGCGATAATCTACTTTCCAACAAAGGCAGGCTCCCCGTCATCGTTGTATTTAGAAGGCGGCTTCTTAGAAGCAACGTGACGTCATAACATTGTTCATGATGTCATGTCACCATGACAAAGTGATATTTTACCCGGTGCATATCGCATGAAAACAAATTATCCCCGATATGTTTGCCCTCGTATGTTATAAGCATTGTTATGATCATTCTTTGAGGTTAATGCCACCCGTTGAATTCTTTGTTGTATTTTGAGCGGTGAAACTAAATAAATGATTTCTTTGGTCTACCCATAACAATTAAGGTGTCAACTTCCACTGTATACCTTACAGAAAGAAGTTTTGACTTTACTTTGATAACGAGCACATCTGATCGATTCCTTGAAGCAAATGATGCAATTCAATATCATTTCTACATTTTATTTTATATGCATCAATCAAATACAACAAATGAGTAGACAGATTGACTGCTATGTGACAAGGAATAACCAGGCGCCAGCGATTTATGATATCCTTAGCAAATGTAACTTAAAATTCCCTCTCATAAAAATACAATAATATGTAGTAATATGATGAAGAAAATAATACGAACCAGGTTAAACTATGACAACGCAATATATGAATGTATGATCGAAACATAAATCATAATAAATCACATATGATTAAAACATTAAATTAACTTCAAATATGTCATTGCGTCAACATTGAAAATAATTCGAAAATGAAGAAAAAGAAACGTACATTTCAAAGCGTAAACAAACAATATCCTGTTATTTTGGGATATGCTATGAAGAACTTCAAAATGTAATAGAAATAACATTAAATTATTGAAAGCTATTGCTCGTAAAATATGTCCTTGCGTCAACATCGAAAATAACTCCATAATGAAAACAATTAACTTTAATTTTCGAAACATACACAAATAATCTCTGGCTTTTTTAAGACGTGTCACGAATAATTTCACAGCTGGTAGAATTAACATGAAATTATAGAAACCATATGCTAACAAAAATTTGAAAATTAGTAATGACAAAGCGTTTGTCACAAACATAGCTATTACCCCCGCCACATGTCGATATCTGAATGTCGCAATTATCCTCTGTCTGACCCTGAAAATTATGTAAACGTTACCGAAACTGTCATCTGATGCCTTGATACAAAATGCGAACAAATTCCATCCATTAGGTTTGGAGATATCGCAAGAATACTCGCTGTGACCTTGAAAATAATCCGAAGGTCACTGAATTCGACTGGCGTTAGACGATACTCCCAACGCATCTTGGTACTACCTTTAAGCAAAACATATTAATTCTGTCTTGTATTTTCGCACTAAAAAGTTAGACATGTGCAAAACACTTTTCACTGTGAACTTAAAATGAGCACAAGTTTCCCAATCAATTGGTGTTGGGGAATCCCGCCAATACACCTTGATATAAAATTGGATCAAAATCTATTAATACTTTCCTGAGTTCGCGGCTACCAAGCTTGGCATGTGCAAAACTGTTACACCTTCGCTGTGACCTTTAAAATGACCTCAAGGTCACTAAATTCAAGTGGTGTCAGTAAATCTCCAATCTCCAGTCAATAAACCTTGGTACCAAATTTGAACAAAATCCATCATTTCTTTCTCGAGTTCTTTCAGTAAACAGAATGGGGAGTCATTTGAACAAGCGATTGTAGTTTTGAAATTGCTTTTTTGTGCAGTTTAATATCTAAGTTTGATTCTAGCCGACTTCTACCAATCTCAAACATAGCATATTTTGTTTCCTGAAGTTTGTGATGCATTTTATTGCAGATTTTACGTTTTTGGGGAGTACCAAGCCAAGATACAAAGTCTCACAAAATGGGGATCGTGAGGCTGCAACATAGCAAAACCAATTTGCTTGAGGCTGACAGATAATATGTAGAAAAATAAAACATAAAAACAGCTGCATTTGTATCATATTCTAGGTGAGGCTGACTACTATTTGAACGTCCCTCGTAGTTATACCCGTTAGAACACCCACCCACCTCTCCGACTCTACATGCATGCAAGTGTGTTAGATATACCCGTTAGAAACCCACCCCTACCCCACCCCCACTTTATATGTATACATATCAAAACCTCAAAAGATATTTGCGAAAAGACATGATACAGAGGACAGTTTATATCGATTATATATCAGGACGAATATCATTTTCGTCATTTAGCTAAGATTTGTCAATTCTTTCTTGGGTTATCGCGCTAATAATCTTTATATTGGCAAAACCCTCAGATTTTTGCTGTTACCTTGAAAATTATCTCAAGGTCACTCCATTTCACTTGTGTCGGTGAACTAGCCAATATACCTGGTACCAAATTTGAACAAAATCCATCATTTCTTTCTTGAGTTATCGCCATAACAAGCTTATTTGATGTATGAGATGCAACGAAAAACAAACACCCGCGTATTTACGTATTACGAAAATTATTACAATTTACGTCAATTTTTATTACAATTTGCGTATTACAATTTACGTCAATTTTTATTACAATTTATGTTTTTATTACAATTTACGTCAAGTTTATTACAATTTGCTGCAAGTATTACAATTTGCGTTTTTATTACAATTTACGTCGTAACACGCCTGTATATATTCCTGAGAATGACGTTTAACAACAAACAACAAATAAAGAGGGGCGGTGGGGTAGCCTAGTGGTTAAAGCGTTCGCTCGTCACGACGAAGACCCGGGTTCGATTCCCCACATTGGTACAATTTGTGAAGCTCATTTATGGTGTCCCTGCCGTGATATTGCTGGGATATTGCTAAAAGCGGCGTACAATAAAATTCACTCGCTCACTCACAAATATAGACATACCGGAAGTGATGCAGATCCACACTCAAGATGATCAAAAGATGAAACGTAAGCCTCATTTTGCAATTATTCCATTTGAAATTATTCCATACAGTCTGGTTGCCAGAATCTATCTTGCTTCTCAAAGTTTTCAGGCGTCTCAAACATGTCCGAGCGTTGTCTTAACTCCAGGAACAACATATTTGTTAGTTGGTTCGTATTGTCTCTGGGTTTACGAGAAACTGACACCGACTCAGTACATTTGAATAAGGCTGTAAAACATTCATGATCGAATGCTCGTATTTCATTATTTTGATTCGCATGAATGAATTTCACTTAGACCAAGTGGCCGAAGCCTCTGATGTGAAATTAACACGGCTCTTATTCATTAACTAACTGGCTTAATGCCGATTATCTGGTATTGATATCTTTGTTCGTGACAAATCTATAATCTTTAAATGTTGTCTATGAAATTGTGTCAGGGTGCTACTGTAGCTCACCTCCATCTGGTTGGTCAAGTGAAACATGTCAAGTCACATACTGTATATATCGACAGGTGAGTGAGTGAGTGACAATTTAATGTCACATCGGCAGTATTTCAGCCATATCGTCACTAAGCGGATTCTTTATTTATAAGGGGTGGTTGGGGTAGCCTAGTGGTTAAAGCGTTCGCTCGTCACGCAGAAGACCCGGGTTCGATTCCCCAAACGGGTGCAATGTGTGAAGCCCATTTGTGGTGTCTGTCCCCCGCCGTGATATTTCGGAGTAAAACTAAACTCATTTACTCACTAAATTTTTAAATAGATATGACTTATAAAAGCCTGTCAACAAAGGACAATCAAATCAACCCGAATATCACAGATATAGATATAAAACTAGTATTGCAAATCTAATACTTTTAAACTTTAGAACACATTGCAATATACGATCAGGCTATAGACTGCCAACAAAGCACCGTCAACAACCATACTAGGACCCTAGTTGTATCAACACCATCCCATGAGCTATTAGCAATTTAGACAAATCTTAAAACCGTGAGATTAAAAAAACCGTGAATGTTTTGGGTGTCGACAGGGGAACTAGCTCAGAATTAAGACAAAAATACGTTGAGTCCAAGCTTCTTTAGTGTGCTGTACAATACATGATAAACAAATACACGAGACAGCAATAAGCTGGGCTGCCGGCTCAGACAAGAATGAGGTCAGCGGAGTTCCAGCTCAACCCCCAGGGCGTTTCCTACGAGCGGCATTATCCTGCTCGAGGTCGTCCCTACACCGGACTGGTGACAGTATAGCTATGAACACTTTATAAGTTGTATGCTTTTCCCGAGGGCAATACGGTCTGATGTACTCCTCTTTGTAGCAGTGTCACCCGAGCCGGTAGATGAGGGTAGACACTACTACAAAGATGCGTAGATCAGACCGTATTACCCGAGGGAGAAGCACAACGTATTTATCTTACCGCCATGTTTAATGTACAAAGTATCATTTTATTTTGTTTTAACGATCGCTACGGACTACATGACATGTAACGTCTGCCTCTCGGCTGGATTTTTATAATCAGTGAAGCACATTCTGACAAGCATAAAACTGCTATAAAATTGGTTAATTAAGTTTAAGTTGAGTGTGCAAACGACTCAATGTATAAAATAGTTTAAATAAAACAATGAAAGTCGGTAAAATATATCTGTACATAGTGAACTCAAAAACAGCTAATCGAACTCCGAGCACTGCATGCGTCATATTATGACGCCATATCATTGTTAGCGATCCAGCTTCTCGGCGAAGAGTTTGGCGGTAATACCGTGGTAGCGGGTAATATATATTATTCCAGTTGTCACCCTCCTGGGAGGGGTGACAGGGAAACTTGTTAAAGCCTCATTGACCAATGAAACTAAGGTATTTCACATGAAGGTAAGATAAATACATGTATAGTTTTAGACACTAATGGACAGACGTAGACCCAACAATGGACAGGTAAAGAAACAATATTATTACCCATACGGGCTAGGATACACAGGTGATTATTTTTGTGATAATCGCACATGTGTTTTTCAGTGATTCTCAACGTTGATTGGTCAGCTAAACAGAGAAGAAATATGATTGGTTGACGGAACTACTTTTCATGATCCAAGTTCATTGACAACTTTTACAGCTTCATTGATAATTAGAACGTGCTGTACTCACACTGTCACACATTCCGAGATTTGAAAAAGAAAACATAAAGGTTAAAGAATATGAATACTCTTTTTTATTAGACATCATTATTTTGCAATGAAATTGCGTTATAAATAGTAGTCTTTTTAAAATAAATAACCTTAAAAAACAACAATCGTTTGCATTGTTTGCAAACAAACCTAATAGGAAGACTGATAATATCATTACAGCCCTTGAATTCCTACAACCTGTTTGTTGTTAAAACTGAAATTGGGGAAACAGAATTAGCAAGATACTGACTAAAGGCGTTACCTTAAGTGTGACAAGTGAGTCGATCTGCCACGGCGTCAATGCCATCGAACCAGAAAACAGCTTCTATCTTATCGGAATCAATGCTAAATGTATTTTTGATCCACTCATTCCTAATCAATCCGAGAGGTTTGTCACAGTATCCGATGCAGAGATTGACACATTTCACTGACTCTGACTCGGATTCCGACTAGAGTTATCGTTCTTAGAACTGCTGCACTGGGACCAATGACGTGACTGTAACAAGCCTTCCACAGACCAAATGTTGTTTAATCTTCAAACCTGTTGGGTTTGTTGACAGGAAACCTTTTCTAGATGAATTCGTGGGATGGTTGTCTTTTAGATTTCCAAACTTTCAACCGTGGACTTTCTTCAAAATTGACAGGTTTTTGCCAAAGTGTGTTTCAACACTACACCGTCACCCTGTCACTAGACACACGTCAGTCGTGCATGAACGATGTTCCGGTGCACTGACTTGATCAAATAACGTTTTAAAAATAGCTGTTATTAAGCTTAATGATATTGCATTTAAAAGGTCATTTTTATCATTTTAACAAATGTTAATAAATTATTCCATTAAAAAAAGTGTGTTGTATCTTAAAGCGATTTTACGAGGTACTAATTTCCATAGCGTAGTGATGTTTTTATCGCTGGAGAAGTTAGGTTTGATACGCGCATGAATATGAATCAACTGTTTGTGGTCACAAGTCCTGTCTCCGGGTGGTTTTTATTTCGTGGTTCTTCTTCTTAAATTACATTATGTGTAATAAATAGAATAACCAACTCGGTACGAGTGATTACGGGAAATATGCCCTCGTTAAAATAATGTTCAGTGCCTCGTACCTCGTTGGTTATTCTCTAAGCATTGCCTTGGGTGTATGGCTGACACGGTCAAGGGGATGACCAATCAGGGATATAAATGTCAATCACCATAATTAATGAAAGAGACATCAGAGCTCCACGGTTTGGCTGATACGCCAATATACAATGCGGTGGTGATGTGGATTAAGAATGGAGATTAGCATCATATAAATAATTGCAATAAAGTGTTTCATGTCTTAGGCTAATAGCTACATAGTTTTTGGCCTTTGGAAATATTTGGACGAGGGCTTCTCTTTATATTCATTACAAATGGCGGTATTTTAGTGACCACTCAATATAGGTTACCTCCCTTGCATATTTCCCGTTATGTTCATTACAACTGGCGGTATTTTGGTTACCACGCAATACGAGTTACCTCCCTTACATATTTCCCTTTATGTCCATTACAACTGGCGGTATTTTGGTGACCACGCAATACAAGTTAGCTCCCTTGCATATTTCCCTTTATATTCATTACAAATGGCGGTGACTTTGGTGACCACGCAAAACGAGTTACCTCCCTTGCATGTTTCCATTTATATTGTCCATTATGTACAACTGGCTGTGACTTTGGTGACCACGCCATACGAGTTACCTCCCTTGCATGTTTACCTTTTCCTATATGAGCGTTTCAAATTGAGTGGACGATGATATATTAAAAATATCAACGGCGAGTAATTTAATCACGAGAAGGCCAGATTAACGGATATGGATCCAGCTGTTCATTTAGGTTAGATCCAAGAATGTGTGGCTATCTTTCAAACACAAGACCTGTTTTGTCAGAAAACCTCACGTTTGGTTGACAAACAACGAAGTATTGATGACTACGTCATGAACACAAACTATCTCTGTAGGGTTTCCGGGCTTGAATAAGTATATAGCAATTTTGATTTATTTACTGGCCGTCTTCGTGTAACTTTTAGTTATTATCAAGAAATGTCACTTTGGAGAACGTCAGAAATACGCACCAGCCATGCCCTACAGGGTCGGGTAAAACATCGTTTGTCAAAGCCTTCATGGAACATGTGTTTCAACCGGGGATCCTTGATCTTCCACCTCAGGGCATCGTGTGGGTGTACAGTGAATGGCAACCCATGCATGAGGACTTGGAAGTTCTTACCTCGAGGTTAGGGATACCCCTGACGTTTGTGCAAACCATGGGGAAGCCAACACTCAGTTACCTGCAGGGTCTGGGGGTAAGGCAGAGGAGGGTTTGCCTGCGCCCCATTGGTTGATCATTGATGATTTGCTGGGCGACAATACCAAAGAGGAAGAAGCTGATGTCCTCCGATGGTTTACAAAGAAAAGCCATCATCGCAACACGTCCGTTATGAGGATTCGCAATCTTAATTTCACATTATTTGATTAACTTTTTTGTTTAAAGTGAAATTCATAGGTACGTTTTCACTGCAAACAGGCTATAGTGTCACATCATACAGATTTCGATATTATCCTGTCAAAAGTTAAACAGTGATGAAGGAAGACACCACAAATCATGTTTTTATCTTTTTGCATTAAAACATGAAAAACATCAAATAATGAACGGTTACACGGTTCCAATAGTATATGTGCATATCGATAAAAATACACAAGTGGTCGGAACCAAAGAAACCAATTCTATATCCATCAGTTTTCGACACGTATGTCAGCTATAAACCTAATTTAATGTAAGTTTATATCATCTCCTCTCTGTTCCAGGTTACAATGGCCAGAGGCAAGTGTGCACCATCTCAAATTCTTCCACTACAAGGACAAGATCAGAACTAGCAGAATCATTAAGAATGGGTCCACCAGAAGCATGGTTCATTGTGCACAGCTCTGTTTAGAGATTGAAGCATACGTTTCTTTCTTCCACAACAAGAACACAAGACATGACGTCATCTTT